CGGGGTTCGAAGATGGCACGACCGGTTGGATCAGCTTAGGTATGAAATTTCCTTGTAACTAATGACAATACAAAGAAGAAAGAAGAAAGTAGAAAATCGGTAAGTTTGTCTCTCTCGCCAGTTTAAAATTGTTGTTGTACCGTCACCTCTGCCATAGTGGTAAGCTTGGGCCATCCGCATTGTCATAGCAACTGTCCCTGGGCCAAGGTTTTAGTGGGGTTTGAAAGAAAATCATTTTGGTTTTGGTCGTTCTAACTAACAAACTAACTACATACTGAAGTTGCAGGGTTGACTCTAGAATGTAGCTTTATTTTTTGTGTACTTTTTTTGAATTTTAAACTTATGGTTTATCAATTTATCCAAAATTCACAACAAAATATTTTTGAAATACATCAAATTAGTCACAAAAATAATAAATGAAATCCAAAACAGGCCACAGAAGAGGCCTCCTGTGACACAATTCTATCTGCTAATGTGTATGAATTACATCAAACGGGTGACTGCTGCCACTAAAAGAACTGATGACTGGTGTGTGATTTTGCAAGTGCACAGGCAGTTGACCATAGTGAAGATCAGTGTCGTTGAGTGCACTAACGGCATCATGGCTATTTTTCGAGGCATACCACTAGCCACGCTTACCATAACTTTGTGTCTAATTATATATTTTGTAAGATCCATCAAAAAATAGGACCTTGCATTGGCGGCACCTCCAGGCCGCCAGTGCTAAAGGCTCCTTCTCTTTATCTCCTCCTCTCACAATTGTCGATGCGCTACCGGGCATAACCTCAATGGTGGGTGGCTGCGGGGTTTGCCTCTGACAAGGGGTGTGGAAGGCCATATCTTTGTGGGGGCCAGGCAACGCAGAGATGAAGAGGGCAGTGGCCCTCGGTGGGCTTCTGACTAGCACACCGTAGCAACAAAAGTTAGCCCATCCTACTCCATTGTCTTCCATTCCTGGAGCAGCAACATCGGCCGGCGTTTTTGTGCCGGCATCCAGGCTACTTCGACCGTGTTTTCCCGTGGTAGTGTGTGTGGACACATGGCAACATAGTGTCGGCTTCGGTAGCCGATGTCTGACGCATCTACGACATCCATCAACGCCGATTGTCAGTGGAGCTATACATTTGACGGTTTCATGTCAATCTGGCAGGTCGAGCATGGGCAGAACGGCTAGGGCTTCATGTATACAAGTGTACCGTCTCTGATGCATGCCCTATAGATAGCAGTCCTAGCCTCCAGGTGGCGTGGTGCAACTCCCAGATGGTGATGAGGCAGTGGCTAGAAGCAATGAGGAGGCAGCCCTAAACATGCTTCCAGAGTCATCAGTGCTTAACTTTGCTTGCCATCACTGAATAATCAATCATATATGGGTGTGCACATCAACAGGTCTAGAGGGCAGGGATTGATCTACATTTAAAAAAAATAGCAAATCAATAATTAACAAAATGCCTAGGATACGACCCAACCAGCCGTGCGCCACCCGCCTTCCACATGTACAAGTCGCTTGGAGAAACATTTAGTAGATTTGTGGTGGTGGCTTGTGTGTTAAATACTACATCCATTCATAAATATAAAATGTTTTTGATATTTTAAATATAGACTACATACAGACTTAAATAAGTCACAAACACACTATATCGTGTCTATGTATATCCGATTTAGAAAAAAGTTAGGACATCTTATATTTGTGAACGGAGGGAGTAGACATGCAATTCCGCCATAAGAAGGTGGTGACATGAAAACCAAAGTAGCTTTATTGACCCAAAACAGAGACCACGCAAGGAAAAAGGAAGGCCAACAGTAATAACATATTAAATGGAGAAACAACTTCTGTGATTTTGAACAGCATTTAAATTCTCTAGCTCTGATGTTGTAATTTGAATGAATGTAGTGTATAAACGCTTGTAATTACCCTCCCTCCGGTATACGTAAACGGTTGTAACTCCGCCATGATCGGACGCATTGTCTCCCAAACGAAGAGTGCACATCGAATTGTGCCTATGAAGACAGCAAACACTCGAGAACAAATGATCTATATCGATTATATAAGAGGGCAAAATCAGCGAGTTATAAACATTGTACATAGATTTTTCACTTGCCGACATTGCATTAAACTAACTAGATATATAAATCTGTTCGAAAAGGAGGATTACCACTGGCCTGTGATATAGATACACTAGTTGTTGCGGGAGGTGCCTGTGCCATACTTGTCGGTGCGGGTGGATGCCTTGGTGTTGTGAAAGGCAGTACAGGTGTCGGCCTCCCAGTCTGAATGACTAGAACAAACTCTCAAGCCATCCAGGCGACCAACTCGTCGGCTATGTTTGCGCATTCACCCACCTTGTTGATGGTGTGCTCCATCGCCAACCACCCTATGTTCTCTTCCAAGACTGGGCCGGGGTGGGCCTCGTGGCGGGGATCCCAATCTTGCCTAACAGTGAGGGCGCGGTGCGGGGTGGCCGTGGCATGTATTAGGCAGTGTCGCCGGGTAGCTTCTGCATGGTTAGGCATACAATGTCATCTGCGAGTAAAGTACACACGTTCAACTGTGTGAAATTGTGTGAACTTTGTTCGACACAGTTTCGACAATAGTTTTTCTGTGTGAAATGTAAAACATATTGCGCATAGTTGAGATCATAAAACCATGTTCAAATTATCTCACACATGGTTTATTTATCAAACGTTGTGAGGTGCCCGCCAAGATCACACACATTCGTCCATCTAACCTGTCGGCAAGACATTTCACACAATTGTTTACTAGTGACCGTGCGCAATGTGCAAACCATCAGGGGGCTTTTTTTAGAAAAGGAGGATGACCCCCGGCCTCTGCATCTGGGCGATGCATACGACCACTTTATTAATTATTCTCACAAGACCTTATAAAGTCATACAACAGTAAGACTAAAACCGCCGTGTAAGCAACAAACTGTCGCTACACCTATCCAGTTGATGAAGGGGTGCAGATAGCCTGGGCCTAATACCAAACAGACATCGCAGCCAAGCCTAACATCTAAGACCTGAGACCCCAACCTAGCCACTTGCCGGGTCTGAGGCACACACTAGTCCGGCGTGCTCTCAGAGGCCGCCGCCGTCAACTGCCACCGCTCCATCTTCAGAACTGTACTGATGCATCAACCTTGCTCGGCACCTCCTCCCTGCGCGCAAACAGCTGTACACATCGCGGTCGCCACTGATACACCTCAGCGCCATGCTGCCACGTACCACCAGCCGACACAACTTGAAGCCCTTGGAGGATCTGTCATGCGTAGCACCTGCCGACCAGGCATGACCAAGCGTAGCACCTGTCGATCAGGCATGACTTGACATCTCCACCGAAGCTCCGTGACGAAGCCGCTCCACCTCCTGCCTCTGACTTCTAGCGCTGCTCCACAAAACGACGCTCCCAAGAGAGAAACGACACCGCAGTGCCGCCATCGTCCGGTCTGGAACACCAGATCCTAGGGTTTCCTCCGGAGCAATACGAGTGGGTCGACGGTAGCCACATGACGATGCCTTCATCAAGGTAACGATGTGGAACGCCGCCATCGCCCGCCGTCGGCTCGGTTTTCACCGGCAACTATGTCTCCCCGACTCGCAGCTGGTGCCAGATGACGGATCCCGAGATCCGAACACCCAGCCTCAGGGCGACCACCTCTGACGGAAGAGATGACCACCACCGCCGGCTGCACCGGTCAGAACAGATCTGATCGGAGGTGCCGCCGACGAGACCACCAGACCCTCCACAATTGTGCACTAGTGCAAGCATAGGTTAGCAAAACCATAATAACACTAATGTGTGCAAGCTAATTAGGTAATCCCAAATTTGCTGGCCTTATATTACAGAGTAATTGTTGTTTCCGAAAAGGGGAGTAACCTGGCCTCTGGATCAGAAGATGCACACAACCAATTTTATTAAACATGAAAACAATTTAAAATCATCGAGTACCAAACAAAACTAAAAATAAAAATAAAACATGACCACAACGGGTTGGATACAAGATTATATACCTCATCCACATGTTCTACGAGTGAATCGTCAGCCAAACTGGTTGGATAAACAGGGCTGACTTCTGTCTTTTATGAACTTTCTCTTTGCATGTGTTCTGTGTGTG